TGCAAAGTTTTTTTTCTTTGAGATGTTGTGTATTGCATTACATTTATCTAAGGAGAGGTAGGTTAGAATAAATCAGTTGCAAACTCTTTCCCCAGGTTGTGCAGTTAAGATTTAATGCTGTGTCAAAGCACAGAATACTAAACTAGGAACTGAAATAGACACGAGCTCTCAGCACTTGGGGGAGGGAAGTCTTGCTCTTCTGAAATTTAATTTCACAGATGCTTCAAATCTGACATCCCAGTTCACATTAAGATTGTTTAGGTGCAGACTCTCTAAATTTGACAAGTTTCTTTTAGTGTCATGTAACATACTGAGGACTAACTTCTACGCAGATTTCGATGTCAAGGTTGCATGTTGCTTTTATGTGTATTTAATCACAAATTGTTTTGCACACTTATTTGTAATATGTTATTTCTTTTAAATAAAAGTGACTAATTTTGCTGTAATCACTATCACACCCAAAGTTCCTATTGCTGCAGGCTTTAGGGAATATTCAACTGAGCAAACAGTGCTGGCTGGTGGAGGACAAACAGATTCGTGCTGCCTGGGGCCTGATAATGGGGGCTGTGAAGTAGAGATTGCTGCCTAGGAAATGTATGCTGCTATTTATACCAGAATGAGACCATCTCAGCCCCAGTCCCACTTCCAGTACAACCCAGTGCTGTTCTTGTGTCCCGTTGCTGCATCACTGTTTACTGCACCATCCCTATGTGCTGCTGTTCTGAAGCTCACCCTTAACTGCTGCATTAGCAGAATGACTGGACTGTGGTCTCCCTGGAGAAGCATGTGCAGGAAACTATCAGAAACTGTTCTCTAAGGATGATCCTTTCCCTCTGCTGCAACAATATCCACAGCAGAAAGCTGCTCATGATCAGTCAGTCAGCTGCACAAAGAAGGAAATGACTTTAACTAAACATGAAGCCTTCTGCACGCTGCTTTAAAGGTTTCACATCTCATCATCTACTGAAGCACCATCCCCTGACCTTCCATTCAATCAACCACAGCAGTGACCAGAAAGACTATGAGCAGATTGCTTGGATAATTAAAGTTCTTCCAAACATAAAACGTTCCCTGTTCTGGTGTGACACCAACTACAAACCCAAATGCTGACGTACTTACAACAGAATCCATAACATGGCTAAATATACTTACTCTGCAGTGCCACGGCCTCATTCTACATCTTTACAGCCATTGAAAATGAGTTAAAAATGGGTCTTCCCACCTGCCACAAGCTGCTCAGCAGTACCTCCTTACATCACTGCTGGGTGCAGAACATGAAGTACATAATCCTAACTGAAAATTACTGCAATAAGAGCAATACTTGATCAATGCATGTCTACAACCAAATTAACAGGATTTTAGTTACTCTCTTCAGAAGGACACAATACTTGAAGAATGAAACCACGTATCCACCCTGCTGATTTATTTATGGTACTGCACTGCTGAAGCATCCATTACACTGAAGCTCAGAACTAACAGTGGCAGCAGCACAGCCCCCTGCGCTGCCTCACAGCGATACTCACCCGTGGTCCAGCCCTGACAAAGACACGGTCTGGTCCTCCTGGGCAGGATGTCAGGACTTGCTTTGTTCACATGGAGGAGCACGCACTGAACAGAAGGCAACTGAAGGACCAGAGTAAGCAACTGGCTGCCTTGCGAGCAAGGCAAACTGTCAGAAGTCCGTTCTACGTGACAAAAGAGGATTAAATACATTTCAAAATGACAATGTTAGCTGGAGGTGAGCATCACCATCCACAGATCCAATAGCATTTATTCCTTTGAGTGCAGCTGCCCGTGGTGCAGGCTGCATCTGCTGGCAGCCAGGAGTAAGGTGCACATTTTGTAAGTCAGTCTGAAGTTACCACTATTCCTGAAAAGCAGTGTGTTTCTGCCAGCAATAGGATTTAAGTTACTGTCATCTTAGTTTTTGTTTGTTGTTATTTACGCATAACCAAACACCACCTCTCCCTCATTTTCTTCTCTCTTTCCGTAGTGTCACAACACAGTCCTGAAAGGAAAACTAGATTAGCAATTAATTTCCAGGGAATTCCAAGTATTTGCCAGCAGGCACCAGAAGCCACAGCCATATCTGTACCAAAGTCCAATCCCTGATTTGATGCCAGCATCAAATGCCAGCACAGGGTTCTCATGGATTTGGACGAGGAAAGATAGGGGAAAAAAAAAATGCAAATTGGGCTTGAACGTTAGCTGGGGAAGAAAACAGCTCCACAAAGATGAGAAGAACATGATGGTTAAAGCAGGCCCTGCACTTCCCAACTTCAGATGCTCTCTTTATCAATTAATTTTGTGTCAGGCTTTAAAACAAAACAGAATCATTTCAGGAAGCTCAACAGACCTGGGCAAAATTTTACAGCTTATTATTATGTAATAAATGAAGGCCTCACTCTTCACATGCCAAGCATCTGAAGATTCACAGTAAGAATGTTATACATGTAGTTAAGACAAGTATAGAAAGGTTAATGGGAGCACTGGATATGGTGTAAATGCTATTTTATATCTATCTCACAACTATAAAGTTGCACACTATATAAATCAAAGTCTGTAGTAGTGACTTCCAACCTCTCAAAATTTCCCTTTTTGGGAAAACAAAATCAATTTACAACACACGTGCTAACACAGACTTCAGACTGTTACCTGAAGTTCCACTTATGGAGTGAGGTAATTATAAAAGCTAGAAGTTTAAAATGAACCTGTATTACAAATGCCATCATGACAGGGAACATGAAAGTCCTCCCAGCTTTGCCTCCCAGCCAGCAGCGTGCACTGTGAAGCACTTCACAAAGCAGGAGTGCTCTCAGGTCTGAGAAGGAATAGTGTTGTATTTACCTGCACCATCAGAAGGAAGGCTGGCACAAGGAGGGCTGCTGCTGTTACGCTTCACGTGCTGAGATAATTGCAGAGGAGGTGAGGAGGTGGTGCAGCAGCTCCAAACTGAGAACACACTGACCAGAAGCAGCTTTTCATTTGAGCCCATCCACAGCCCTCTGGCTCTCATGGAAGACTCAGCACTGCTTTGCTGTATGAGACACCCCACAACCCCACGATGATGTCCAGCACAAGGACAGAGCTGTCACACCCAAAGGCAAAACAATCATCTGTGCAGATGCCGCCTCCTTCCCCATCCCCACATTGGTGCTGGCTGCAAGTCGGGGCCACAACACAGAAACAAAGCTGCTGGGAAGGCTGGGAGCCACGCTGCAGAGGGACACAACATGCTGGCAGTGCAGATAAACACATCCTCACCAGAATTAAATGCGTGGTTGGGTCTGCTGTATATTAGAATTCTGAATCTGTTTTAAAAAGGGAGGGGCAGGGAGGAAAGCAACCAGACACAATGAAAATTAGATCAGATTCCTGAATCTTTTACACCTTGCAGCAAACCCAATGACAGGCAATGAAAATCAGGGCAGCTCTAAAGAAAATTAAGCTGGGTTGTTGTTTGTTTTTTAAATTGTCCTTAAATTCTGATTAGAACACTGTATGCTGCTTGCTTATACTCAGCCACTTTCAAGGACTACACATAAGCTTTCAGCAGAACGAACACCGACCTGGCTGCCCAGGAGCACAAAAGGAAATCACACCGAGCACTGCAAAACATAAAAGTTAACAGGCAGGTGATGTCAATCCTAGAGAGGTCAAATCTCCATAAGCAAGAACCATCTCAAGAAATTTTCTGTTTGCAAAAAAAAAACCACATTGATTCTAGGAGTCCATGGCTAAGAGCAATTTCAGAAAGGTCAGGAGCATCAGCTGAAACGCAGCGGTGTGACAGCCGTGCCTTTCAGCCTGCAATACCACGTGGGAAGCACTGCTGTATCAACGAGGGGAAGCACAAAACTGCATACACAACAGGGTGCAACACTCCTGGAACAGCCCCACTACCCAGTCTAGTGCCATGCAAGGCAGAGGAACCTGCACCCAACGAGCAGATGAGAGATGATCCCATAGGAGCACTGCCAGCATCACCAGAAGCACGTGGTTATAAGGAAAAGGTGAGCGGTGTTCTCATATTGCACAGCTTTACTGAAGGGTTTATCCAACCCCACACACACCAACGTGTGCCAACAGCAGCACTACAAAGTACAAAGGGGCCCAAAGCACATCCCTGTGCTCAGCAAGTCCCAGCTGCTGCCACACCAACAGCGCTTCCTCAGCACTGCCAGCAGCCTCTGCACCATCAGCACAACGTTGGACATGTTACACAGTTGTTCAAACACACTTGTTGAGTCATTCCAACTTAGTTAATTTGCTGAATAAAATTTAATTTTATTTAAAAAAATCTTATACACTATTATTCACCTAGCCCTAGTTGTGAACAGATTCTCACTTCTGAAAATAAACCACATTCTAATTGATTCATTCAACACCAAATTAAATTACTAGTACTGGATTTTGTTTTCTTAAAAAAAGTATGTTAAAACTTTACTTTTTTATTTTTTAAAACCTCTAAAGAAAATCTTGCAGTTTTACAGAAATGTTTTTTTTTTTTTTTCCAGGTTATGCTCTTTTTTTTTTTTAAATGCCTGTTATAAATTCAGCTTGTGTAGAGTTCTGTTGTTGGTTTTTTTAAATAGATTTTTAATATGTATTATCTGCAGAGACATCATTGTAACAGTTCCATTTTGTGGATGAACACAAAACTTGTACAGATTTCTCATATTTGGTCTTTAGGTAAATAGTTCCAAAAGCTGCCTCAATAAACCACTCCAAACTGTTCAGTCCGTCGAGAAAACACAGTTCTTTTCCTTTCGTAGTGGAAAAGGAAATATAAATAATGCATCATTATTACAGAAAGTGACAAAAATCAGGTTCAAATCAAGGCGGCAGTGCAGCGTTCACTCACCGTGCTGCGTGAAGAAATAAGACATGATGTGAACTGAAGACTGAACAGCAGCCTTACGCTCAGCTCGCGTTTTTTACTGTAAAGTGGAATCTATTACCACAATTAAAGTGAGAAATTGCCACTACACTGGAAAATGTTCAACTGCAGAACACACACTTAAGTCTTCTTTATTGTAATCATACGGTAGCCACTGTTAGAAAACCACAACAGCTACTGTGGATGGAGACCCCCGGGTCAGTGTATGACATCAAAAGTGTTACGGAGAAAACTGGTCAGATTAATTCCTACGGATGGGTGCTTAAGCTTAAAAATATCGAATATACCTCTGACAAGATAATTTTAACTCTCTTTTTAAAAGGACTCGTGATAAAGAATTTTATCTTTTCTAAATGAAGAACAGTCTGTTATCTTAAACATACACAATATTAAGCGAGACTCTCGTTTTACTTTAGACTGGAAAAATATGCCAGGGACAGTCAAAGTCAACACAAAGTAACAAACAGCAAAAGGTAGCAGAGAGAGAAACAGATAAGTGCAGCTCTGGTCAAATTCATAGCAGTTCTTTACGTCAGTTAACGGCTCATTTACATCGTAATTTCTAATCAGTTACATGCAAGCCCAAAGAAGCATTTGATCACTACACATGGTAATAAAATTTGATTAAATTTATCAGGCAACTGCTAAAATATGAAAATTTGCAGATGTAATAAAGTAGCTTTATCTGAACTTTAAGAGGACAGACAAAAGTAAATCATTCCATCGGTTAAAAAAACCCTACATTCAGTTTTTTACCAAACAAAATTTCACATGAAAAGTATTGTGTGATTCCAAAGTTTCCGGAGTAGAAATGGAGTGATTTGAAATGTCAAAGACCCCATCGTTTTGCAAAGAAATGAAAATACACCTCAAAAATTTCTAATTCCACATGTGAACAACAAAATACTGCATATCTACCAACAACTGCATTGGGTAGGTCATTATGAAAGGCTAGCTGCCAAGATGTAGGAAATGGCTCCTTGCCTCTGTTCCCTTTGAGGAATATACAATCGTTTGAAACCAGTTCACACTAAGCGCTTATCATGCTGCCGTTACACTGAGATGCTCAGTCCTTAAAATCATCTGATAAAGATTTTTTTAAAGCTGCAGCCCTCCCCAGCACTGTACTTCTCAGCGTACACAGTTCATAGGGGGCAGGGAGGAGCGGGGTCACAGCCTCTGGAACAACATGTTTTGCAGTTTGACTTTAAGTTACCAAGTTTTAAGGCCACCTGTGTTGGTTTATTTTTCAGTGCTGAACGTTGAAGTCTGATCACAGGGCCCCTTTCCCCACTGCGTGAGAACATGTTCCAAGATTTTAGGTGTTATATTTAAGTGTCTCCTTTTGGCACCACGGAGTTTGTTGTTGTTTTTTTTTGTTTTTTTTTTGTTTTGTTTTGTTTTTGTTTTTGTTTGTTTAAAAAAAAAAAAAAAAAAAGAAAGAAAGAAAGAAAGCAAACTCTAAGTTTCTAGTTCTGGCTGCCTTTATCGCTCACTGCCACAGGCGGGGTGTCCACGTTAACAGCTATCACTATGCTCTCCCCATCCTCTGTTTTGATACGTTTCAGTTCCTGCTGTTCCGACTGGTCTCCGTTCTGGCGCTTTGTTGGAAGCGATGCCGATGCGGACGCGTGGGTTGCCAACATATGCAAAGGACTTGCAGCAGCTGCAAAAAGATAACAGAACTTCAGCACCTAATCCTTGTTGAAACAGGTGATACTGAAAGCAAGTATGCATTGCCATCAAAATGCTGCACTACAGCAGGGCGTCAGTCAGCCCAGGTGAGATCCAGCTCCAACCTCTGCGCAAACCCAAATCGCTCACCAATCACACAGACAGGGACAAAGGTGGCAAAAAGGGAAAGTACCTCAATTTTGTCAATGGGGGACTGAACACAGAAAGAGATGAAATGATTTAAAGCCAGTCTCCGAGATATCTGTCACAGAACTGGGAAGGGAATTTAGAACCTCCATGAAGGAGGATCTGGCCATGGCTGTGGATGTGCAGATCCTGTCTATGCACAATGCAGTACTTGGCCAGGAAGAACACACCACATCATATTCATTGCTGCCCACGAGTTATTAAACAAAAGCAATGCAAAGCACACAGCCGGGAGATGCAGAAACTCAAGCACCACTTCCTCTCTGATAGATAGTTAATCAGCCACAATGTAAGGAAAAAAAGAGTGGTTTAACAAGAAGGTTTAAGAAATTACTGTCTGATTAAAGTCGAGTGAATCAGATAACAGAAATTAAGTGTTTAGAACCTGCTATAGCAGATTGTCATACTTGTCATTACATGGAAACAACAGCACACCAGTCACCATACAAGCAAGCACATTCCCTGCAGTCATCGCATCCAAGGGCTCTTTCCCTCTAAATATCAAAAGTCAGCTTCTCAATTCTGATTTTCTTCATCTGACTATTCAAATGTCTTTGCAAATAATACAAAATACTAATTATATATTTACTTTTTCGTTGCATCTCATGAAAACTTATCAAAACACCATCTACTGACTGCTTTTTACACATTAATTCCCTGTCCTTGGCATCACAGCTTTGCTGAGAATACCACAGAATTCTGTTAGTGGAGCTTGAACATCAAGTGCTCAAGGAATTCATATTTGCTGAAGTTCTTGGTTCTTAATAAACTATTCCAGTGAATACCTGGAATCAACACTGCAAATAACCAAACTGTCCTGTACTCAGTGTGTACTTGCAGAACAAACTCTTTGGAAAATACTTCATGTGGCTCTTGGCTCAACTCTGATTAAAGAAAAAATGCGTATTTCGTCTGACAGTAACTCCTTTTGCTTTACTTGTGCTGAAGTACTGAAAGTAATCAGTAAGAAAACTGATGAGACAGAAGTAAAAAGGATACAACAAAAAAACCTCACTCCATTAGTAAGATTTTACTGAAATACATGTAATGAAGAGTTTTGAGCTACCTTATATCAATTTCCAGAAGTACAATTTATGAGAAGATACTGCAGCACCAGATAACGTATAAAAGTGAAACTGTTGAAACAAACTACATATATCTGCAAACCAATCCAAATTGAATGCATCTGTAAATTACAACAAAGCCTGAATAATGACAATTGTGAAGAAGTACCACTACTCACACAGACTGCTGAGTCTGAGATGGGAATGACAGCATGCAGACAGAAGAACCTCAAAATCATAGAGAAATCTTGTCAATTTTAGTGCCCTGCTTTTGTACAGGTTGAATAAAAACAGAAGAAACAGTCCAAAAAGCTGGTGGGTTTAATCACAGAACACACAGAGTTGGAAGAGACCCATAAAGATCATTGAGTCCAACTCCTAGTGACGAGAAGATGGGCTGTCATCACTGGCACATCCCTGTGGTGACTACAGAGCCAATAAAAAGCGCTCAGGTAATCATCAATGAAAAGAAAACACAAGCTCTTAATAAGAGAGAGAACAATCTCACACAAGGCTGTAATCAAATTCTTTTGTACGAGTTGTTTTCAGTACAACTACAAAATACAAGAGAATGTATGAGAAAAGATTCAGCACTGGCCACTGTGGTTTTAGCACACACAGAGCTGCAGAACAGCCCGACACAACACTCACCAGCATTGCCCTGCCCCTGTATTGCAGTGGTGATGGGTACTATGTGCGTTCCGTTTTGCGTTACAGTTTTTATTGGTAGCTGGTGTTGACCTAGAGGTGCCTGTTGCACTATAGTGACTGTCTGTAAAGGTGTAGTCTGAGATGTCTGAATGATACGACTAGCAGCTCCGATTGTAGCATGACTAATAGCAGGTATAGGCTCCACTTTCACTGAAAAACAGATGAGAAAGCATCAGTGAAAAACAAGAAAGCATTACAAAGAAAATAAATTCACACAATTCACATTTACTATGTCAGCCCTCAGTGACAATGCATATTGTTATGTTATGAGCTCCAAGCTATGTGAGAAATTGTGATGCAAATCCTCAGTTTTAGCATGGAAATAATTTTTGAACAATAACCAACCAGAGCAACTGACCCACAGGTTCTCACCTTTTACTTCCTTGTGGTCTCCATTCTCTTGAGGTTCTACCTTGGGCTGGGTTACCATTGCAGCTTGCGTGACTACTGCCTGTCCAGCTACAGTGTAAGTGTTTGCTGGTGCTAATCCAGTCACATTTGTGACAGACACAGCTGGTATCTGGTGAACAACATGAACTGTCTGAACTACAGGCTGCTGGGATGTTGATGTTGTCACAGGAGTTGCAACAGTGTAGGTGACGGGTTTAATAGTTTGTGGTAGCTGCCGTTGTACAGTAATTAAAACTGGTTGGCTAGATAGAGGTGATCCTAGCAAGGAAGAGATAAAAATCAGGCTGCTGAATTATTTCATTTAAACCAGTCATTCTATTAAACTTACTGCTAAAGCCTCAGAGGATTAATGACCTTCTTCACTCAACCCTGACAAAAGCAGACAATGATTACACACACAACTCCTCCAAGCCACATATTCCAGGTAAGCACCTCATTAGCTCAGTTAGAGCTGCTGATTTGGGCAAGAGCTCCACCCACCACCACAGCCCTGCAGCTATCACAGCTGCATTCGATCTTCATTCAGTGAAACTCCTTCCAAAGATGGGAACTAACATGTGCTTCAGTGCTGCGTGGAAGGTTTCCACAGAGGAACAACTCCCAGCTTCCCAGGCCGGTCTCTGCTGAGGGCTGCTGGCTTTGTCACAGAACAGTCACTGCTACTTTTGCAGGAATACCACTGAGAAGATGGATGGCAAAGTGCATCAGCTAAGGTAATTGAACAAACAATCCTTATTCCATTTCACCTTCCCCTCTTTTTTTTGTTTTTAAGGAAAATTTGTGCCTTGTCTCCTTAGCCCTGTAATTCTGTTCTATGTCCAGCATCAAACAGATGAAATGACACAGATGCATGCAGGACATCTGCTTCTTTCCATAGCCTACACCTAGATTGGTTGGTTTTTTTTTTGTTGTTTTTTTCCTTTAAACCAGAAAGAGCACATTTCCAAACAAAGCAAAAACCACTACAAGGCAGCATGGCTCAATTCAGCACAGAAGTACAAATCTCTGCTTACTAACAAAGCAATCAAGAGTTCTGGAACCCACAGATAACATCACCTGTGGGTCTGCAAAGAGTATTTACCTGGAATGTGTGTGTGTTATTCAACGTTTGCTCTGTTAAGACATTAAACATTTACTGCTTCGTTGTTTCTTTTTGTTTCTATGCAAAGCCCTGGTAACAGGGACATGCCAACCCTCTCCCACCTCCAACCCCCACATGCTTATTTCAGGATCCTCACCTGGGGCACTCTGTGCAAATCGTGCTTCTTGTATTACCGCTAGTTTTGGCTGGATAGCACTAGGCTCAGGTTCCATTGGGACTGGAGATCCTTCCCTGGACAGACTCTCGGGGGTCTGGACTCCACTGGAGTGTGCAGACAGCACTCCAGAGTGATTAGGAGAGGCTGGGGCACTTCTGTATTCAAAAACGAAAGCAGCAGCTGATGTGTTTTAACTTCTGAACTGCGAAAGACAGCGACCTTCCTCTACAGAGACTGTAACACACACTGCCCACAGGAGGGCACTTGTGCCTGCTGGCAAGTACAGTTACAACCCAGAGCAGTTTTGAAAAAGCTTCTGTTAAACAAGAACAGAATTTAAAAGCAAACTTCAGGTGCAGTTAATGGAATGGAAGCGGCTGGATGCCTTCCTAGGGAGACTCCCTAAAACCATCTGTGAAATATAAACATTTCTTTTGGTGGAGAAGGATGTAAATGTATTGGACTAAAGGGCAACTCTAAAAGAAATAAATGTGCACCACCAAAAAGGTCAATAACTTTACAAAGGGAATCATTAAAAGCCATGTATTTCCCCATCACAAATTCTGCGTGAACATTATCAAATTAAAATGCATACTTGTAATTTCTAAGCTCGATATAATGGTGGCTGGTATTTGGTTATTTTCTTTGTAAACTGTTTTAGAATTCTGTAGATGGCAGTTAGAAATTAAAATTATAATTCTGTAAAGAAAAAAAACAACACAACAAAGGTACAGCAAGGCTTGCTTACGTTAACATCTGACAGTTAGTTAGGCATACAGAGTCAGTTCTTTAACACAAGCAATAAAAACAAACCTAGCGTATGGGGCAGCCTCCTAGCAAAGTTTATCATACAGAATTCAAACACTGAGCCTGGATTTAATTAAATTACTGAACTTGTGACTGTATCCAAAACTATCAAGTCTGTATCAGCCTGAAGATTAAACAACAGCCATAGTCTTTTTGTTCATCTGTTTTTCCTTACCTAGAAGAGAGTGGTCCCAGAGGGGTTCTAAAGCAAGGTACTCCCCTAGGCCGCCTTTTCCTAAAAGCCTGCTCTATTAATTTGCTTTCAGAGGCAGGGTCTATCCTCCAGAATGAGCCTTTGCCTGGTTCTTCCTGGGAACGTGGTACTTTGATGAAATAACGATTCAGAGAGAGATTGTGACGTATTGAATTCTATGGAACATAAAAAAATATGTAGAATTCATATAACTTTTTCAAGTCAGAATGTGGCCTACTGCAGCAATGTGTACTACAGGAAACTTGGGGTTCAGTTTTTTTTAATTCCATACTTCAAAAGGAGTCAGACACTGCCAATGCAGTGCCATAAACCTGAAAGGACTCTGGCATTTTTCAAAACTTTCCCAACAATTAAAAACCAATATGTTAATGTGATACATGGTGACTTTCACAGTTAGAACACTACAGGTATTTGAGCATAATGCAGTGCAAAAAAAAAAAAAAAAAAGAAAAAGAAAAAAATACAGCCCTCATGTCCTCGCAATACAACCCTTCCCCAGGTGTCAAGGAAAATATCAGAGTGTACTATGAGGGCCAGAAAAGAATGTGCTGATACTGATCTTACACGATTACACTTTGTTGCTGTTCCAAATACAGAAGGAAAAGGTTAAATTTCACAAGTTCCAAATAGAGTGAGATTGTTGGGAGTTCACCCACAGTCCAGCCTGTCTCAGAGAGCAGCCAAGGACTTGGCATGCCTAGCAGAACAACAAATGGCAGTAGGTCCTCACACAGCTCCTCAGTGAGATCCCTGTTACTCCAGCCTGGTTTGCACGTTACCTCATCCTCACACGGCTGTGTTTGTGCTACAACTCACACAACTTTGATCAAAGAGATGCAGAGAACTGCTAACGCTCCAAAGATTCTATATCTATCTCTGCTTGCCTTTGTGCACATCCTTTTTTTCTTTCTTTCCCCAACATAAACCCCAAACCTTTCTAAATATTGTCACTGAATAACAAGAAAGTAAGTACAAGAATAAGTACTGAAAAACTTGTGAGAGAACAGGGGGGAAAATGGAGGAAAAGCTTTACATTAATAAAAGCTCCTCAAGATTTCCAAGATCAAATGTAAATCCAGCTTAAGTGTCAGCATTTAAGACCATGAGGATAAGTTTGGAAAACCTAAAAAAAAAATTAATGATAACCATGCATGGTTTCTTAAATATAAACTGATGAAACCAGAAAATCTTTTCCTCTGCCAAAAATTGAAAAAGAACTGAAAAGATGCCAAGAACATGTTTATAAATTGTATTTATTTCTCCATATGCTGGAACAAAAAAGTAGATCCAAAAGCACCTGCTAAAATAAGATCACAAAGAGGAGTCCTCAACAAAATGAGTTTTATGTAATAGGGGATATAAATACTGCAGTGCTGCTAATTAAGGGATGGGATCTGGACATTATTTACATGCATGCACTGTCTGGTTTGAATAATATTCAAATATAGCCTCAAATATTATTTAAGGCATCAATCAGATAAGTCCTAACCCTAACTATCATCCAATACCTGATAACTAAAAGCTAGCAGAGCTGTTATACTTGAGCTGCCCCTGCCAGTGTTCCAGCACTGCTTATGTGACCAGTTACTTAACAGCATCTCATTTCAGGCTGCTTTTTTAATTTGTTTTTCAATAGAAATAGGTGCTAACTATTTATTCTGGAACACGTCTGCTTTGCTGTGTCCATCACCTTGGTTCAGTGAAGTATTTTTGTCCTAAGCCAGAACTCTGTGTGTTACACCGTATGTATTTGTGTGACTACATGAGGCTTGCTCACATAAGGAAGCATTATATACACAGAGAGTGATTCCAAAACAGGAAGCAAAAAGCACGCCAACGTTTTATAAGCAGAATCCTATTGCTAAAACATATCTGTCAGTATTTCTGCAACCAGAATTCTTCACTGATCACTTGAGAAAGGGAAAAAAAATCTTACAGGTCCTTCCCAGTGACAATAAGAGTGAAGTCCTTTACTAGCTAAAAATCTTGTAGAAGTGACATTCCCCATTAACCTTGCAATTCTCCTAAGAGTGATTCAACTTTCATATAGGCTCAATGACAAATTAGCATGTAATTCATATTTGAAATCTATTCTTCTACTGAGAAGGTGTGTACTCTTTGGTCTCCTATAAGTACAGCAAGCAGATACGCTTCCTCACTTTTACCCTCCGTCAGTTTCCCCAAATTTTATTTCCCTGCAAAGAAGTTCAGAGCATGCCTCTGGTGTACATCATGATTGTGCTAAGAGCAGCACTGCGAAAATGATCCTTCATGATGGACAGTGCAGCCTGAATGCTACATATGCAAACTTGCCAGTCCTGCTAATTGTGCTCTTCTGTCCTTCACTGACACTAAAAACAGCAGCAAAGGCATTGAACTCTTATGTGTATCTGGAAAGACTGTGCCAGACTGATTCATACTCTGTTAGTCATCCTGGCAAATGCTGAGGCTAGTCTCTTGGAAAATGAAAAGAAAGCAGAAATTAATTCTACAGGGTTTGGTCTAACTCAAAACAGGAACAACCAACTTCACAAATGGAGTACTGCAGAAGTGCATCGAGGCACACAGTGCAGGGGAACAACAGTAATACATACTCACTCCTTCACTGTATTGTATGGTCAAGATACCAAATGCCCAAATGAACCCAAGCCCAGAACATTAGGTTTCTTAATTCTATCCCAATATAACAATACGCATGTTTACGCTGTGTGATGTTACAGAGCATAACTGCATCCCCAGACAGTACGTGTGTACTTAAATCCATAGTTCTAGCTACACTTTTCTTCCCCTAAAGTCTGTATGTGTCACTGCCAGAGCTTTAGAGAATACTATTCCATAAATAGAGCAATGCTTCAAGCATAAAATAACGTTAATTGCCTACTTTGTTGGAGATTCAATCAGAAAAAGATAAATTTTAACGAACACTGATCTGAGAAGTTGTATTTACAGAGGGCCATTAGGCTTGCCAACTGACTTAGGACCAAGTATGCAGACAGCACTACTCTCAACTAAGAGAACCTTCTAGAAATCAAGCTTACCTGCCAGCCCTTGTCTGCTGTCCTGTAGTATGGATAATTTTTAGTTATGTGCGTATAGATTCCATTTAGTGTAAGCTGCTTATCAGGTGCCATTGTAATTGCTTGTACTATTAACTGTGCATAGGAGTAAGGTGGCTTAGAGTCGTCCTGCAGAAGAAAAATGAAGATTCTACATCAATAAAAATGTAGAAACACACACATTCCTCTATGAGCTAAGTTGCAGAACATTTAATGCCTTAAGCACTTCTGGACAACCAGAATATTCAAACAGAAAAACTAAGACAATTTTGCTCTTCTGTTTTGCAAATTGTAAGCTAACACTAAAAAACCTGGAGAAACAAACACCACTAAAGAATGCCTACAAACATACACACACACACACACACACACACACACACACTCTCTCTCTGAAGGTGAGGGGTGAATGGGAGCATCAAAATAAACATTGCGTCTCACCACAAAGAACTAACAATTATTTTTGAAGTTTGAAATGCTACGACTTTATGCATAAAACGTGGCTAACAAAATTTCAGAAGTATTGCATTCACTGAAAATATAATGTATGGGTTTTATTTCAAACAGTGCTTACCTTTGGGCTGTCTCCACCCGATGCCTCCTTGTCATTTTCTGACTGAGAGTTGTCAGCCATTAAATGTAGGTCAGATGGTATCACACGACTCATTTTGTACCCTGAAGAGCCTGCACCACGGGGGCTAGATGGGCAGGAATTTGCAGCACTGTTGAGCATAAAAAGAAGATCCTACTATTTTGTTATACAGTATATCACCACATTATATTTAATCAAAAAGCTCTTATTGCAGAAAAGCCCACTATCAGTGCTTCTAGACCACAGTTAAGGGTCTGTCAGTATTTCCATTATGAAACCTATTTTCCAAGCCCTTCTAACTCATCCATGAGCATTAAAATCACTGCAGGAAGAAACCTGTCAGATGAAGCTCAGGCTTTCCTCCTCAAAGGAAAAAGGATTAACTGATTTATTAGGTTGTACTGTATTCGTGTGAGATTTGCCTACACAGAAGTCCATTTTAACTACATAAGCAACCACACATTTTAAGACACTCATTTGAAACAAGAAACACATCTTGCCTGAGATCTCTGCCATATGCTTGTATTTTGTCTACTCAGAAAGATCTTCTTCTGTGCAGTATTTCTGCACATGAGAAAATACAAAAAGCAGCAAGGCAAAAAAAAAAAAAAATCTGATTCTCATTAAAATCTAAAGCTTTATTTTAAACATTTGCAAGCATGTTCATACACACACATACACACGTATATAAAAGTGATGAATGCTATGAACAGGAAGCATCAGCACTGACTTATCTGATTGCACTCTGTATTACATCAGCAGAGCAAATACAGTGCCAGAAAGCGAAAGTACCAATGAAAGGGAAGAAGTGACACCCTCTGACTCCTCACGTTTTGCTATCCATCACAGAAAAGCAGAGCTAAAATTGGAGCACCTTTCCTAAGGGCTGCTCTCCTGCCCTGTGAGCCCACACGAACTACAGCAGCATAAAAATGGTTTTACTTCTACAATTTTATTTTGCCAACAGGAAAGACAAAGTCACTGAGTGATGTCTGTCTCCTTCTCCAAATAAAACCGTAACTCTGGCAGCTCTCCATCAGGGCACGCACTTCTCAGCAACTGTAACTCATTTCAGCAGTCCCCAGCAGTTCCAACATTGAACTAAAAATTACAATAGTAAAGACTGGTGCAGCCTTATCTGCAAAGACGATCTCAGAAATCCAGCACAGCCATTTGTTACCTGCCAGCAATAGGCCATACAAGGAAGACTGGATTTCTGAAGCACTGCATGGAAGAATCCTTGATCAGAACTAAAATATCTAACTATTTTTATTATTATTATTTTAATATAGGTCACTGCTGTTCTGTGTTTTTACTCAGATCAACTGACAACATCCTTCCACTGAGCTCACTTCAGCATATATTGACAAAGCAACACATATGGGTACATACAAAGCAAGCTTACAAGTCCTGTCCAAAACTGGATGATTGGAAGAGAAACTGTCAAGCTCTGCTCTCAAAATAGACTCAAAACTGTCATCTTTTTTTTTCGGTAATAAAGTGTGCTCAACAGGTGCACAAAAGCCCTGAAGAGAATTGCAAAATTCATAGTGAGGCAAAGACTGTGGTGGTATACATGATATTATCTGCAATATTTATGAGTTGCTCTATCATTTCATAAGCAAAAAATATTTTCCTTGAATTTTAATCAGAAAGCAAACCTGTTACACAGACAAGTCGAAATCTCTCTCTACTTCCACCATCTGTATAGATCTCATTAAACACTACAACACTGAGATCAAGGTCTTGGTAAACATGAAGGAGGTCGATTATCCTTCATTCAAATCTCATTAACAGTAAGTACATTTTTAAAAACCAATCATTCATAGTCCATCACCCAAGTGAAGCCCACAAGAAGTATGGAGCATGTACATGGTTTTCAAAAGCATCTTTCAGTGACTTTAAGTGAAGTTTTTGCTCCAGCACTTTCTATCTAAAATAATTTTATCAGCTTTGAGGACAGCTGGTGTTTGTTTCATTATTTTGGCCCCAAATAAAGAGTCACACAATGATGACAATTATCAAATTAAGCAGCACAGTAAGTAAAAAACCCAAGTTAACCTCCCTTGCAGATGACCTCCCTACACTAAATTTCTCACGTTGTATTTCAGTTTATGTGCTTTGTTTACTTTCAGTAATGATTGGTCAATAAAAAATCATCTTTCAGAATTAGAAATCAGTCTATTTTCCACCCTAACGATAACAAAGTCTATAAAAACACCACCAAAGTCGCTTGGAAAGTAAGTAAAACATAGGTTTCTTTCCTGTAAGAATGTTAAACTCCAGAGCAAACTATTACACATCTAAGAAATTACATTTAAGCTTCACCAGAGAAGCAAAATACTGAAAGCAAATTAGAAAATGGTCTGAATTCTGTAACCACATCTCTTGCCCTGTATTCCATCTGCAGGGTTTAAATACCTGATAGTTCCTGTGGGAGAAGGGAGAGGGCTGATCAGGTGAGCCATGTTGTCTGGAATGTTTATCGTTAAGGGAGAGATCTGGGGTTGCACAGGCTTCACTGGGGACTCCGGGGCCTCCTGTTTTTCTCTCTTCTCATTGGACAGAGCAGTGAATGTTATCTTTATGTTTGTGCTGGGAAACCTGAAAGTACAGCTGAAAAATGAAAAACAAACACGTAAGTCACTTGTTTACACAGTGTAAGAGGTTTTTTTTGCATGATTTGCACATATCACCATATCCAGAAATACAAAGGTATGCTGCCTTGCACAATTACTTGTAACCACCTTCATTTTATTGATCACACAAAGATCAGCGCGACCAGAAACAGATCCACAAGTAAGCAAGTACAGAATTTAGAAAGATATAAGCAAAGGCAGTTATTTGTAACAAGAGCACTTCTTCTGTAGTCTCTGCATTTCCTGAGGTTCATCCCAACCTTGCAACTACCCCTAAAAAAGTATTATTTTGGTATATTTTGACGACAAATGCTATGATGTCCTGATGTCGAACAACAGCTCCTGTAAAGGAGCAAGCAAGACAAGCAGAACTCATCAGGAGTATAGAGATAGGCAGATCTGAGGCTTAATCAGCTTCATGGACTGCTCCAGCTAAAAGATCTGCTCCATTTTCTCTTAATACACATATTAAATCCAACACCTATCAGTCCAGAGGCCATCATTTGCAGAGTGCATGGCTGCTGCACTGCCACATTTAGGTATGTTTCGGTAAAGCTGAATTTAAGAGCCAAGTTCAGTAAATTTCTCATTTACATTAATGACCAAATTCTGTACCCCTAAATTAAAAGACTGATTATAATCTGGCAGTAAATTAACAATGTGTGAGTTGTTGGAAAATAAAGTATAACTATTACACACGTGAACATTTTCCTTCTGTCCCCCCATCTCTCCATGCAGGTATTCAGAAATTAACCCAGTTACACAGAACAGCTTATTTATAACTTCTCAGAACTAAACAGACTGAGTTAACAAGAAACTTCATTTTCTCTCAACAAAAGGATCTACAAAGACTCCGTTCAAGGAACTTTGCTATCTCCTCTCTTTTAATTAAGCTGTCAGACTGCACTCAGCACTAAGCCCCCAACTGTATTTACACACCCCTTCCAAACCATGAAGTTTGGAACTTTTAAATGCTGTATGACCTACTAACAAACCTTCACAATCGTTTTTTAAATGATTCTGTGTAGATCTGGTTTTAAAAGGATGGAAACCAGCATACTGGAACAGGTCTGAGGGATGCAGCTATGAACGCAAGCAGCACACTGTAAATAAATGGCATCACTGCTTTGAAGAAATTGTATTAAACGTGAAAACTATGTGAGAACAGGAAGGAAGGCTGAGCTGTACAGCAGCACTGAAAGCATCGATTTTCATACTCTTTGGGTTCTACTTCTTAAAGCATATCTATAAAGCAAAGAAAGCATTTGCCTTTTACTACACTTCTTGTGACGCACACATACGTTGCAGAGATTCTTTTTTCCCCTGCAGTTTACATTCAAGCATCAGGAAAAGAAGCGAGCAGTGATGCTGACCTCCCTTTTCTCTCTGCCTCACTTCTCAGTATGGACTCTGTCCGGATTTAACAGACGACCTATTTCTGAAACATGCTCCATGTGCTAAATCAGGAACAGAATCCATGCCAAAAAAATGCAGATGCACTTCAGCAAGAAAGTTGAGTGAACCAAATTCTGCTTTTTTAGTATCTCCAGCTCACTACCATGCTTTCCCTCATTTTCTGCCTGTACTGTTTTAGCAGCAACTAAGAGAGGTCTCAGCTGCTGTGCTAATAAAAATGAGATGCTGAGAAATACTGGCGACAAATGTCAATCGGATTTGGGAAAACAAAATAAAACCCAGGAGCTCTGACTAACCAAAGGTTAATCAGCAGTGCCATGCAAACGTGGAACTTACAGTCAGGAGCTGCAGTGAAACCCATTACTGCTGTAACACACAACACTTCTCACACTGAGCTTCACAGGGTGTTGTTCTTAAGGAAGACACAATGCACTCACAGATCACTGTTCTTCGAATGTAAACACCTGAATAGTGTATTATGAAAGACTGCATCTGTCAATTGATTCCTATTTTCAAGCAAGTTTTTTAAATATAAATATGTTTTAATAGCTGGAAGATAGACCAAAAAGTGGTCTAAAAACTGCATTAACAGATTTTCTAAGCAATCTGCATCTATGCAAACATGTTGCACTGACTTTCCAAATCAAAATAAGGTGCATTTTCTAAGATGAGGAGAATCAAGTTGGTTTGGGCGTATGTTTTTTAATTATATAGCAAACCAAAGGAAGCACACACAGAGACCTGCTCAAACACACGGTGCCTAAAGCAAGCTGAACTCGATTTTAATCACTCTTTAAAAAGCAGACAGTATTTTCATGATGTGCTAGGATGGTTGCTATAGAAGAAACTGATCTATACATCCCACTTTTAAATGAATGAATGAATGAATGTAGCTGTATTGCAAACTGTCACTCTACCCCTCATCTACTCAACTAACTCCCACTATTCCTTCATAGGATGACACCATTCGGAGTAGGAAACCAAACGGAGCCACAACTGGTCCAACAGATCCTTTAAAAAACAAACCCTATGAAAGATGTGTGTTTGAAGAGCCGTGTGACGAAAAGCCCACATGGCAGGAATCAAAGTGATGACAACAAAAGCACCAATGATTTATCTGATATGCCACGGATGTGCCACCGTTACATATTTCACACAACTATTCATGGTAGCATATTTAAATATTTTTGTATTTTTATTACAAGAGTACTTACACTGTATTTCCTACAGAGTATCAGAAAGGAGGCCAGCCAGCCAGCCTGTGATCCAGCAACCAGCAGTGCAGGCATCACACCTGCAATGCCACTAATGGTCCTAATCACTGCTTCAGAAGTTCATTTTGGCTTAACTGCTGGAAAAGCTGAGATGGGAGAAAACAGATAAGCAGCCTCAAAACATTTCTAACTATTGGTAAGAAAACCATTACTATCTCTACAGCTCCCAGCAAAACTGTCACCTGCTGACCCTGGCACTACTCCTATTGAATGAGTTTAGCAACTCTGTACATTGCCAGGTGTATTCTGAGAAGATGTTTAAATTCCACTTTTGTCACATCTCTAATACTTTCTCCTGTTCCTTTAGAAATGCTGTCTGCACTGCAGGAAAAGGTTAATTATACACCTGCAATTCTAACTACATTCTAATAGCATCTGATTGGAAACAAGGAAATGTCCTATCTCATCTGTGGAGCCAAAACGCAGAAGCAGGAATCCCATTTCCTCCCTGTATGCAAGTCCTGCAATGAAACTCAGTGTCCCAGGATCTTTTGAACTATTTCATTTTAATTGCCTTTTAAAAGCCAGATAGAAGCTGCTCTCTTACAGTTCTGTTATCAGCACCTCCAGATCCTACATTCAAATAGACTGGGAGTTCAACACCAGTAACTCCCTAAGCATGGTAGTTACACCACGGTAATTTGAGCTTTTTACACTGAAAATGCTACTGAACAGCAAGAACTTCAAGGATCTCCCTGTTTTTTAAACACACCCAAAAAGAAAAAGATGAGAGGTTTCCAAACTCTTGTTAGTTTACTAACAGCCAAGGAAAGCTTCCCATTTTTACACTTAAACCCGGTTTCAGAGCCCGTCTTTTTGCTCATTTCTTATTTCAAATGCTTGAAGTGTCAAGCACAGGCGACAGGAGAGTTCATTTCCAGGAGAAACTGAGGTAATCAACAACACCTGTACCATCAAACAACTTCCCTCCAACTTAGGTTTTCTCTGTCCATACAGCACACTGAGATGATGCTATCCTACCTCCTTATCCTGCCCTGTATTGATCAGTAACCTAGGAAATGCAGAAATCACATTTCAATATACGTTCTCCTTTCCATGGAAGGGAGATTTATAACTTACCCCTCCCTAATTCTTCTTGCCTATGTTTCTTTTTTAAGACTCATCTCCTACCCAATCCCACTGCATCACTCCAGTAAAACCAATCTTCACCATCAACTGCTTTATTTACACCCTTGGAAGAAGACACACATGCTTTGAAGCTTAAGTCACCAGTGAGATACTACAACACACAATACCACGTGCACAATTGATTCCATTGTACTTCAGAAGGCAAAACCTGTTTTTTACATCATTCACATCAAACAGCCAAGAAATCAAGTTTGGAAGAGACCTCTGAAGGCCTCGAGTCCAATACCTCATTCACAGCAGGGCTAACTTCCAAGTGACATCAGTTTTCTCTGGGCCTTGTTTCATCAAATTGTGAAGCCTGCCATGTCTGTAGTTGGGCAATTCACTCCCATCATGAGCCACAATAACAAGGAATGGTTTCACAGAATCACAGCACAGCTGGGTTGGAAGAGACATCAAGGTTCATCACGTTCCAACCCTCCTGCCACAGGCACGTGGCTCCTCCAGCCTCTCAACTGCTTGTTCCCTGAGCACCTCAGCAGCCCTCCACTGCCCTCTTCAGTTGGTCTCTTTTGTTGGTGGTGGTTTTTGTACTGGAGGTCCGAAACTGGGTACATTCACTGCCCAGTACAAGGCTGGTCTTCATCATGACAACAAGGGTGCAGCTTGGAAATGCACACAACATCTTCCCCCACCAGGACCTTCACAGCCAGTTATTCCCAGGCTTCACACAGCCCAGATGCAGAATTTTACATTTACGTTTTCTGAACTTCCCAAGGTCCCCCGTCAGCCTTCAGTCCATCCATGTCCCTGTGAGTGCCAGCTCTGCCCTCCAGCTACTGACCGCTCCCCACAGCCTGGTGTTATCTGCAAACTGCTATGGGTGCTGTCCCATACCCCAGGCCAGTGATGAATAACAGCACTGACCCCAATTTACCAGGCTGCAAAGCTACACAAGGGGATCGCCAGCTCAGTGCAGTTCTAAGTAACATCTGTAAATGAAATCCAAGACAGCAGCATACAAAAACTGGGCAGAAATCAAACATCCATGGGAACACAGCATTTGGAAATCAAAGCTGCTTCAGCCTGCTGCTAATGGGGAAATTTCAGCACACGAGAACACGGTCTGCAATTCCTTTTCTCCATTTGCCACTCCATTTATTGCTGACATCACAACAGAGTAATAGGTAATTAATTA